TTTTTTTTCGAGTGCGCATGTGCGAAAATCGCCATTATTTTGTAGGTATTTCCGTCAACCTCAAAATATTTTATGTTTGACGCGTGTGTCAACAGTTATTGTATTTCTTGTATTCGTGCATAAATACTTTTTTATTTCTGTATAATATCATGAGTAGAAAAGGTGGAACAGTTTGTGTTGTTCGTGGGTGTTAGTTCGTTGTAGTATTATATTTTTTATATTCTTAAATATAACATACCAACTGACAGTTAATAATAAATACAAGTATGTATCTTAACTTAAGATACATACTTGTATTTATTTCATATAAGAAAATTTGTTTGTATTTTGTAAATTTTAATTAAATAAAAATATCGCTTAAAAAATTCACTTAATTTTTTCATTTCTTCTTTCTAAAACTTCTTTTTAAAAACAAAAAATAATCAGAACTGTCCAGGGCACAAAACGTAAATTTTTTTAGTATCATCAACACAAATTATGATTAAATATTTTATTTTAATTTTCATTTATTGTTATCATCAACAATAAGAGAGTGTTATAGACAAGTACGTAATGATGAATGAAATAATGAAAATATATAAGTACTTGCTATATAATAATTATATTTATCTAACAAGCTGTCACTATGCCTTATTTTATGAATGAAATATAAAATAAATTACTGAAATAAAGTATACCATAAAATTAAGAAGAATCCACACCATATTTATGTAGGTAAATCTCTATTCAATGAATAAAAAAAAGTTTATATAAACAACACAACTGATTGTTGTCACTTTTAAATTTGGCGCTTCTCTATACCTACAAAATAATGGCGGAAGGTCATCGAAATTTGACACGGCGAGATCAAAGGAAAAGAGCCAGCTGTCGCTTCTGGTGTTATAATTCTGTGCCTTAACACTGTATGAGATTATACGTTTTCCCGAATACAACTATTTATAATACGTTACTTACCCTTTATAACTAAATTGTTTTGCTTAGGATCAAGCTGTAAGCTAGTTCTATAAGCTTCGAGCGCAGCTTCCTTTTTACTTAATTTTTCTAATGCTTTTCCCAGCAGTTGATATCCTTCCGGTGATTTTGGCTTAACAGTTAAATATGAAGAGACGTAACGACAAGTTTGTTCATAGTCACCAACATTAAAATACAGCTTTGCAAATGAGAAACATCTTAGATTTCTCTGAAATAAGAGGTGTTTATCAATATACCTAATAGAAATATATTTTGAGTATAGTACAATCTCGCTAATCTGGCACAATTAAAAACCTAAGAGTGCCGGAGTAGTGGAAAATTCACGTTAATGGAAAATGTATGTGTAAACAGTATTAAATTAAAAAACGTTACTTTTAATTGTTTATGAACAAAGAGATTGGTACATAGATACATACATATTATAGTAGTGTATAGTATATTGTAATGTTTTTATGTTTCTGTAAAATAATCTTTCAACTAAACTATAACTGTATAAACTGTATTCTTCAAGGATAATAAACAAACCCGGAAAAAAATAACGCCGGATTACTGGACGTGCTGGTGTAGTGAAGTGACGGATTGTAAAGATTCTATTGTATAAGTGTTACCAAAAAAATCAATTTCACAGACACAATCAGTAAACTACTACGTTTTTATTTTCAATAATAGTGACATATCTCAAAACATAAAACGCCGATGTGATTCTGTTACAATTCAATCGGGTGCATATTTTATTGCAGCTTTTTTTGCTATTTGAATTTATATATCTGCCCGTGTGGCGTTTTGTATATAAATGTTTTTTTTTAGATAAATTCCCGCCAGCATGAAGATATCCCTTGCATAGAAATAATCTAAAAATAGAGTACAAAACTATTTGGCAATGACAATTTTTATACGAGTATTTGATGAAATTGATAAAATATTCTATACATTAAAACAAAAACTAATACAAAAAAATTGGTCCCAACGGCTATTATTTTCACCGGCATGGCTTCAGTATCAAAAAAAATGCTTACCTCGGTCTCGTTGTTTATCTTTTTTAAACTATTATCTACATGTCTGTCCACTTCTAATTTTGTTTTAAACATTTTTAGGTAACAATACGCATGTATAAAGACGACACAATAACTGGTTAATATTTCTAATAACTATATAATTACTAGACGTTACCGGACATACATCTACAACCAGTACTATCAACCACCATTTTGCTTTACCTTCGAATTTGGCAGTTGAATTTCAATAAATTCTAAAGGTTAATGCACAAGCGTTGTAGCTTTACGTCGCATATGATTAATTCATTTCCTTTGAGCAATCAGGCTTATTTTTATTTGTACGTCCTATGGTAACGATTCTTTGAAACAATAAAAAGTTTGCATTGTGAAGGCGCTTGCAATAGCTGCCAACCTTCAGAAATTGGTGATGAGAATCATGAATCATGATTTAATTCTAAATATACTTGTTTTTATTTAGATCTATGTCTAAATAGACATCGATAATCGATGTAAATAGAACTGTGAGAATGAAAATCCTTGATTGAGAATAAATCCACAACCGGTAGGTAGAACAATCGGGAACAATGGGTCCACCAGTTTATAGAGTGAGCGAGATGGACATAGTGCAAGGGTCAGTTCAATAACTGGACATAAATTTCGTTCTATGAAATGTGAAATTAATATTATTGTAAACAATTTTTATTTTACAAAATTTAGTTATTAACAATATTTCTTAATAAACTGAATTTATAACGTAGCATTTACTTTCTTCGGCAGATCTAGTATGTAACCAACCAACCAACCAACCAATACAAGTGTAACTGTCCCGATTTCCGATATTGATATCCCGCGTTCAATTCTACAAGTTCAGCACCACAGTATACTACACAAAATATATAATGTATACTAATATTACTAATCAATCAGTAGGGAATCTTAAATGATATATGATTTATATGAATGAATTCCGTATGGCAATTGACAATTTTTAAATACCCCCACCCTAGGAAAAGTCGCTAAGAATATGGCGGATCCTTCGAGCATATACTACTGGAGGCATGCCATTGCGAAAATTGTGGCTGAGTGTGCGAGAGAAACAGACAGTACCTCAGTACATCCTGTCTCACTCTAGCACGTCACGATTGGTTGGAAATGAATGCTTCAACCAATCGCGGCGTGCTAGAGTGAGACAGCATATCTGAGATACTGTCTGTCTCTCA